TCACGACGCGCGCGCGCGCGCGCACACACACACACACACACACACACACACACACACACACACATTCGCGAGATAAATACAATCTTTTTCTCGCAAAGATCTTGTACGCGTAATTATTTTTATAATTCTCTTGGAAAAAGATGCAAATAAATCATTTATGTGTATCTTGTGTATAGGTATGTGTCTGCTTCATCTCTCTCCTGTATAATCGTTGAACAGCCAGTTATCGATCCAAAAGACAAGTCTCTGATAACATAAAAAAGTTCAAACTCTTCATAAAACAATAATAGGTAAACAAAAAGAACTGAATTAAAAGAGAGATAAACGTTTTTCGTCACATCTGGATAACTGAATCGACTTTTTTTAACTGTGGATTTAAACAAGTATATTTAGTCATCTATACTGTAACGTAACGTATAGTTAGGTATAGTTAAGTCTACCTTATTATATGCTCCCGAGATAGCATCGTCGCACGCGTTACATCATCTTTTGATATAAAATCATCTCTTTAATAGAATCATCTCTTATCAGCGCACGACGATAATAAAATCATTTTGTATCATTTCTCATCGCGCATTGCAATAATAAAAAGTGTTTCTTTTTCGACGATGTTTGCTTTCGAATAATTCGGCTGCAATTTTGATTTCTTTTCTTTCGATTGTAGTCATATCTTATCATTCGACCCAAGTTTAACATGACTTCCCAAGATTTCAGTTCGTTTTCCCAATCGGTTTGCTCAATCGGTGAAACGGATCTATGCGTCAATTCCGTCATGAGCGATTCCATCTTGCGCTTATTTATGACTCAAAGTTTAAAAAACGCACGCATTCAAGGACAGTGCAAACGCTACACGATATCCCCCTCTCCCGTTTTTGATCAAAACTGTATATAACTGTACGCTTCGTCAAGTTCCGAGTTGGTCGAGAGCAATCAGTCGTAGCTCTCGAGTTTGTTGAATGGTGTATCACGCGATGGCGGAAAACAAAGGTACTGTCTCGCAATATTATAGATTCGATTATCAATAGTATTTAATTAGCGCAACAATCACTGAGTGCTACAATCACTGGATACCAAAATCATCATTCTACTTTGATTAAATGAGAGAGAGAGAAAAAAAGAGAGAGAAAGACTAATAAAGAGATCTCATTCTAGATTTATAGTGGCTCTCCTAGTTGCGATGCTCGGGCGAGATCATCACTGTATAATTCATAATCTATCGCATGATTTTAACCCTTAAAAATGATTTTTGTCGTAGCGTATTCTGGCTGTGGGCCGGGTTACAGAAGTCCGAAAGCGGCGATGCTCGAAGGACCACGCGAAAAGCTTCTATACGTCATTGGCATACACACAGATCCCCAGAAAGCCGATGTCCTTTGCACCGTGGATGTCGATCCCGACAGTCCCACATACTGTCAGGTACTCTACGTAAAAATTGCATTTGTAAATTAAGTGAAAATTCTCGGAAAAAGAAATTCAGAAACAAAATTTGGAAATGCAGATAATACACAAGCTAAGAATGTTAGCGATCGGTGACGAGTTACATCATTCTGGCTGGAACATCTGTAGCAGCTGTCACGGATCGTCGCGCAAACGCGATATCCTGGTGTTGCCCTGTCTGATGTCAGATCGGATATATCTGATTGATACAAGTGAGGAAAAAATGCCCAAGATCAAAAAGGTACCACGTGTGAATGAAGTCCTCTTTGCGAGGATACAGACAAATATGATATATAAAGATATATGCGATATTCTATTTTGTAAGGTTCTGGAACCGGAGGAGATGCGTAAGTACGGAATATCCACACCACATACTTCGCATTGCTTGCCAACTGGTGAGATAATGATCTCCACAATGGGAAATCTTAATGGCGACGGATTGGGCGAATTTTTCTGCGTCGATGCGGAGACTCTACAAGCGAAAGGTACCTGGACGAAAGGTCATAAAAAAGCAGCTTTCGGATACGACTTTTGGTACCAACCGTACCATGATGCACTTATCGCTACGGAATGGGGTGCACCTCGTGTCTTTAAAAAAGGATTCATTATAAAGGACGTTTACGATCCTGGTAAATATTTGTCAAAGAATCGAAATTTTTTTTGGGGGGGGCAGTGACTTAGTTGCAATTTGCAGATATCTATGGCAGAAACTTGAACGTTTATTCGTGGAACGAACGAAAGTTGAAACAGACTATCCATCTGGGAGACGATGGAATCGCGCCTCTTGAAATAAGATTTCTTCATAATCCCATGGCAGCCGAAGGATTCGTGGGTTGTGCGGTTACGTCCAACGTTTACCGATTTTATAAGACGGATGATAACTTGTGGAAGGTCGAAAAGGTGATTCAGATACCGTCAAAAAAAATCGAGGGATGGATCGCACCTCAAATGTCAGGTATCGTGAATTTTGTTGTCCTTGAAAATTTCAATGAGATTTTGCAACTACTCGGACATACGATTGTCGATAGAAACTCGTGCGATCGCGACGTCTTTTGCGACAATAGCTTGTTGACTCCTTCCTTCTATTTTCTCTTACGCTTCTTTTTTCATTCTTCAGGCATGATCACAGATATTCTGCTCAGTCTTGACGATAAGTATCTGTATCTGTCCAACTGGTTACACGGCGACGTCAGACAATACGATATCTCTGATACGAGGAACCCGAAATTGACGGGTCAAGTTTTTCTAGGAGGATCGATACTGAGCGATTCGCAGGTACGAGTAACGCAAGATGAGGACACTACCGACCGTCAGCCCGACCCCGTCTACGTGAAGGGACGTAGATTGTATGGTGCTCCGCAAATGTTGCAACTAAGTTTAGACGGACGTCGTTTATATGTGACTACATCGATCTTTAAACCGTGGGACAAGCAGTTTTATCCCGATCTTTTTAAGTAGGTGCAATCTTTCTCTTTGTCCTTTCTTCTTTTTTTTTCCTAAATATAAAATCCTAAATATAATATGAAATCTTTACAAATTTTATTCTTGTTTAAACAATGTGATGACACTTGGCGCGCTATTTAGATATGGATCGACGATGGTGAAGCTTGATGTCGACATCGAGAAGGGCGGCATGAAGCTCGACCATCAATTCCTCGTTGATTTCGGCGCCGATAAGACCGATATTTTGTTAGCCCATGAGATGAGGTGAGAAATATTCCACCAGATATTTTTACCAATAATTATATATTATTGCAGTTTACCGCATCGATGAAAGAGAACTTTATTTAAATTTACTAGAAAAATTAATGAATCAAAAGAAATTAATTTCTCGGAATTTATATTATCCAATGATGATTTCGTAAGGTTTTTAATTCTTGACTTTCTTTTTTCCTTTTTCTAATTTCGATTTTAGTTTTTAACCTCGATAAGGATACATTTGCTTTTGCAAATTAAATTACCATAAATTTCTCTTAATCCATTAATTGTTCATTTAGATATAGAGCTTGTTGCATTATTACCGCCAGCAATTTTATCGTGTCACATTAATCTTTGTATAGATATCCTGGTGGAGATTGTACTTCCGATATATGGTTACCGGAGAAACTCTAAATTTCATGATCGGATTGGATGTGGAGTTAATGACACTTTAATACTTGCAAGAATAGCGATGCAGCATGTTTTTATATCATAATTTTTTATGACTTCCTTTCTCCAGTGAAATTCGTAGACCTTTTGTATATAGAAAATTATTCGTAAATATTCCTTCATTGGGATAAATAAATGAATGATGGGTAAATTAATATAGAATACTTACAGAATATTCTCGTTTGTTTCCATGGTAGTCTTATAATTCCAGCATTGCAATCAAGTAATATAGAGATTTTATATTGTATGGAAATACATAATGTTACATGATGAATGATAATCTTTTTTTTTATTCTACAAATAAAATCTGTTTTACGCCAAAGTCGTGATCTTTCGTTGTGCAAAGTTTGTCGAAATGTTCTATTAGAAATTATTCAAAAATTGCGTGGCGACGTAAAAGAAAATTCGTTGCATTTCCACTAAGAACCATGTTAATCGATTTTATTTTTGTTCCCGTAATAAAGTTTTATATCGCGTCTGCACGTGTATAGTATCCAAAGAGTTACATTAAACTAAATTTATAATGGCCGCATACAATTTCAAAATTAGCGATAAACATTTAAAAGAAACGAGTCTTTGTTATTATTTTTGCAATATGTGAGAAAATATTAACGCGATTATGTGGATATTTAAAGAAATGATTGGGCGAAGTATGCAACGCCAGAGAGTAGCGAGGACAACATCGAGTGTCAATGTTGGCTACAAGGCTGATAAATCTTTCTTCTTTTGCCCGGATTGTCCGATATTAATAGTAAAACTGAAACACCAAGTAGACGCGGCAAATTGTCAAAGCCATGCGTGTACCTACTGCAAAAATGATTTTGTCCCATTGATCGATAATAAATTCCGATCGCTCCACTAAAATTTTTTTTTTAATACATATACATACGTACGGTCGCACACACGGGTACGTATGCCTTGAGTTTGGAGATGGTTTGGCAAGGTCCCAGCTAGCCCACTGCACCATCTCAAACCGTGGCGAGTTATGAGTGGCGAGAAAACATACTTTTTGCGAGATATAGCGCAACACGAATATTTTTTGATAAAATAACGTTTGCGTTCGACAAAACAGGCCCGTAAAATATATTAAAATATATTAAAAACTTATATTTCGCTTCGGTATATGTTAAAAACCCGTTTTCATCGACTACAAACATTATTTTATCAAAAAACACACCCACTATGCTGTGTCTTGCAAGAATTTCCATCGTGTATTTTCTCATTTCTGACATCATGCGATTCAAGATGGCTACAGTAAACTAGCAAAAACCTTAATTACAACTCAATAACAATAGATTATTCTAATCTCGTTAAATTGGATCCTTTTCTTTTTTATAATTTTGTCTTTTTATCTCGGTTTAAAAATAATGCTGTTTTTATGTAATTTCGAATTCTGAATTAATGGTCAAGTGTGCTCATGTACACCATATATCGAGAATTATGCAACGTTACATCGGCATAAACACTGATCCACATATCTCGATTAAAAGGTCAGGCGTTCTTTCTTTGACGTGATGGCATTACACGATGGTAAAGCTCGTATTAACCATTACATAATGAATATTGATAGCGTAATCGTCGCTACGACCGTTATCGAGACTTATCATCGTCATCGGACTTCCTGTCAATATCGTCAGCCGAACTTCTCGCGACTACACCATTAGCGTAAAGATACGTGGCCGATTCTATGTTTCTCTCAAAAATTTGTGACCTTCAAAAAGAATACTATTTATCTGTGTTCGATACCGTATATCTGTTCTCGTTTACTTTCAAAGAAGAGACAGGCAGAGAGAGGGGGGGAGGGGAAGGAAAAGGGAGAGAGAGGAGAGGGAGGAAAAAAGAATCGTTAAGTATAACAGATCACAGATGCATCAATCTCATTTTTGAGACAACTGTAGAATCGGCACTCGGCATAATAGGTTTCCAGTTGTCGCGTCGGAGAGATCGATCCGCAATCAAGCTGAGAAACCGACTTGTTTCCCGGATGTTTTTGCCAAATACTCCATCACCTGGTTTCGAGCGGAGTGTTTTGCCTCCTACGGCAACGTAGGGCGACGCAGGTACGACGGTACGAATTTGAGTACCGTGTGAGACGAATGTCGAGCCATTGAGGCGCGTGAGCGCCAACCGTCGTTCGTTCAGACCCACGGTGTCCAGCCCTCATACAACAAGGCCAAATTATCGTTGCTCTGCGCTTCACGTATCACGTATTCCACCTGTTCGGCCGTGGTGTATTTGCGTGACGGTTGCGGATCACGGCCTTCGAGTTTCATGCGCACGCGACGCCACACGTTCAGCGCGTAAGCATTTCTCTCTTGCACAGCTAAAAAAAGATAAATTAGAATTATGAACGATCTTTGGAAATCGCGAAGGTATCGATAAGAGGATGGATCGAAGACTACTTACCCTTGCCCGTGGTCGGGTCTCTGACCAATGGTGCCCCCTTTCTCGGACTCAAACATACACTGTTTTGTCGCATCAGTTTACTCTTCTTCCTCTTTCTTCTCTTCTTCGGCAGATTATCCGCCAGTTTCTCCGTGCCCTTGATCGGATTCAGATTACGCTCGTTTGCAAATTCCAGCAATCGATTGTACAGTCTGGGCACTTTAATTGTCATCACTTCCAATTCGTTCTTGATCACCATGCCGTGAGTCGAATCGAAATTCTCAGCTTCCAATTCCTTCACCACCGTCGATATGTTTTCCGTAAAGGACCGATAAGCGGATAAAAAATCTTGCAAACCGTCAATATTCTCCTGTTTAGCCATTGTCTTTAGTAACGCTCTAACGTCCGACATCAGTCGGTGATGTTCGGCGAGTACGTTTTGCAGATTCATAACTCGCTCTCTCAAATAGTCTTCTGCCGTGAAAAGAGCCTCTTGTTTCTCCTGTAGCTTCTTCTGAGTGTCGATTATTGTCTCGGACACGATTTTTTCGGCCTGTTTCAACCATGCGGCGTCCACGTTGTTTTCCAGTTGTAACAGCTGCACGAGGCTCTCCTCTATCGTGGTAACAGTAATATTCAGGTTGATAGTCAGCATGCAACTCTCCTCCCAGTGTTTGATCAATTTGACTAGATTGGCATCGTGCGTCACACTCTCTGATGTCCTGGTTCTCAGGGCCTCGTAGTGTAATATTGAATTACACGCGCTTACCACCATCGCGGCTAGATTGTGCTGCCTAGATAACTTGTCACACGATGACAAGACAGCGTTATCGAACGCGGACATAACTTCGCCTAGTGCTGGATTGGCGCCGGCAGCCCACTTGAGACGTTGTATAGCGCTCGAGATAAGATTCTGTTGTTGTTCGCGCGCTTCACAAACTCGCGACTGCAAGTTGGACAGTTTCGCTGCCTTTTTTCGTAACTCTAACATGAAAGTAGAGCGATCTAAAGAAAAAAAAAGCAATTAGAAGATTGTTATTTCAAGTTTCATTAAAACTAATAGATAGGTAATGCTTTAAAACATAAAACATAATCTTGATTCGTATTTTGACTTGAGAATATATCAATACAGAAATATCGTGTAAGAAGTATAGTAAATAAACGGCTTAAAGGACTCACTTAAACGATTCATTGGATGCATCGGACTCATTGGATTCATTGGATTCATATTGGGCCTCATCATTAGGATGTCCTCGTGTAACCAATGATAAGCCGTCTGCTGAAGTTGAAGTCTTTGAAAACTGACTCTGGCTACTTCGGCGCTCTGCTGCGCCAATCTAGCAGTTTGTTTCCGACGCCACGCGCTTTCTAAAGTGCTGCTCAATGCGCCCGCTTGCGCCAAGACCGAACCTGAGAATAATCCTCTTTTCAAGCACAAATCTACCATTTTTCGGCATAGCTCCTCCAACGAGACCTTGCTTTCTGCTCCGATGTCTCTTTGTTCGATTTCGGTGGTTACATTCAGACCCATTCGCTGCAGCAGAAAACACAGGGCGACCGCCACGGTCTGTGACGTCACTCCGAGCAATTGCCTCGAGACGTAATCGGCCGTAAACATTCGGACAGGTTTGTTGAGCCGTTCATCATCGTAAACGTTAGCCAGTCCGCCTTTGAACGCGGTAGCGATATCCCTACACATCATGAAAAACTCTTGTATAGTGTGCAATCTTTTTATCAAGAATATATCCTGGAGAACTTGTCGAGTTGCTTTATTGAATATGGGCGCCGACATTTCCTTGGCCTCGCGTATCTGATCAATTTTTTTCCAATTTATTGGTACATCTAAGGAGCTCAGGATAGCCACCAGGGAATTACCTTCCATTTGCAACTTTTCAAACAAACCGTTGAAACCCATCAACAACATCTGGCCCGGTGTTAAAGTCTCTTCCTGATTGGAATCTTGAACTTCCGTCTGTCGGGATAGCAATGCCTCGAATCGTAATCTCATGTCAGCCACTACGCTCTGTACTACCGCATGCGGACTCTCCATTTCCATCACGGTGAATCGGAGGTGTATCTCGAGCTGCGCCAGAATATCACTGAGTGGTATTCCGGTCATTATTACAATTTCACCGAGCTCGCTTATCATTCGCATAACACTTGGTTCCTCCGTGATGATAGTCTTCATCGCTTCTGGCAATATAATGGTTTGGAAATTGTAGTTAAGCTCCTGTAGACCCTTATAGATACAATCGGCGCTTTTGAGACACTTGAGGGTTAGCGCGATCTTAGGATCGTTATTAGTCTTGTGACTCTCCGGTATCAGTATTATCAACTCGGCGATCAATGACGACATCAGACGCATTTCATCGAGAAACCAATCTCCCTCACGAGAGGTAAGATCCACCAAGCAATCTCCGGCGCATTTGGCAGCGCCTTCCATCATCAGATATCGCTTGTTCAAGGCACACAACGCGGTGATGGTGACGCATTCAAGTGCTCTCTCCGCGCCCTTTTCTCGTCGCAGAAATCCTGTAATTTGAACCTTGGACTCCGTATAGGCTTTTTCAATCCTGTTGCTAGCCTCTGGCAAGCCTTCGGACACCGTTCTCTCATAAGCTTTCTTGTATCTCTCGCTATACTCGTTCAAGATCGCTTCCATCTGATACGAGAAAGTTATTATCTGCTGAACCTGCGGATTGTTGGGATTGATTGGATTTAGATTCGCCTCAAATTGCGCCATGACCTCGTGACAGACCTCGACAGTACCCGAAGTTAATAGTTTGTTTGCCCAAGTGTGATAAAGCACAGTACGATGTTGCGACAGAATGCTGAGAGGATACAAACTGCAGATGGCAGAATACTGGCTCAACAGTTCTAAACATTTGCTTATGGAAAAAGCCTGATCGCTAGCCAATTGCGTCAGCTCGTTCTCTGACTGCTCACACTGCAATATCATCTGACTTTGTCCAGCATTTTGCAGGAACTCCTTCACAAGATCAAATACTACGTGATCTTGTTGATTAGTCAGAGCTCCCAACTCTGCCAGCCATTGTCCTAATTGAGGTCCTCGCACCGCGGCAAGCGCGATCTAAAATTGCAATCAAAATATCAAAGAAGTGTCAAACTGATGTAACTCGAATGCTTCGATGATTCAGTTTTGAACTCAGCACTCGAGCAGACTTACGTTATGCATGCTAATTTGTTTCTCGCATTCTTCTATCTTTTCCTTTAAGCCGGCTCTTGCTTTTTCGTGAGAGTCTCGCGCTCGTTTAAACGAATTGAATCGCTTCACTACCGAATACAAAGCGTGATTCCGACCCATCGCTTGCGCCTCCTTCACTAAAGCGAGTTGCTGATGTCGATCCTGCAATAAATCTTGACACTGACGCGATGCTTCGGTCGCTTCGATCCAACTGTTCAAGTGATGGCAAAGCAACGGCAAGGTTTTAACCAATTCGTCTCTGCAATTTTACCCCACGAAAGGTGAGTTGATATAAACAAGCATATATATAGATTAATAACTAAGAGTGATAATTGGAAAGATAATCATCTGAATAATAGTAGTTTTTCTTGAGAAGAAAGAGAAGAAAAGGAACGAAGAGAAAGAGAAAGAATGTAGATATTGTAAACAATGGAAATATTATTCTATATGTTAAAGTGCGAAATATGAAAAATTAAGAAAGTAGTTTGTTTCCTATTGTCGTTCCCTCACCGATTGGCCAGCCATTCGGCACGCATCTCCGCCGTTCTTACTGCAAACATCGCACGTGTCAGTTCCTGCTCCAATTGTTTTCTTCCGACGCCGGTGCATCTCGCTCTGGCTTGGCAAGCGCCATAACTCGCTATGCTAGTATCCGCGCCCGCCCTCCAATCCACCAATGGATCGTAGACAAACGCCTCCAGCAAGGTCAGGAGCGTTTCGCGGCCTCTACGCATCACTCTCAAAGTATGCTCGGAGGCGAACCTAAATATACCCTGAACACATAAATAGCGATTTCCATTATATGCCATTCATTATATACCGTTCACGTCTGGGAAAATATAACAAGCGCAAATACCCGTCATTTATGATTGTGCATGTTCGTTTGGGCTCTCATCAACCTTTTTCGATTAGGAACGAAGCTGATAGCAGCTGATAATTGTGGCGATTCTTTGCCAAGGGAACCACAAGAGGAGTAGATAAGTAAAAGTACTCCCGATCAAACGGGTAGCGACGAGCCGTGTCTGTCAAATCGTTTCGTATCGATCTGCATCGCTCTTATCGAGAAAAATAGCACAGCTGATCGCGAATGAGTTGTGCCATTAATAAAATAAACTTGCTCTTTCTCAAAAAGTGAAGGAAAGGAACTTGAGGTGAATCACTTCTCGTTTTACTTCTCGTAATGAAAGATTGTCGAAAAAGTTAATTTGTTTCCGACGTTTCGTAGAACATCATAGAAGTTTACGTCGGGATGTGTATCTTGACGTTTCGTAGAACATCATCGAAAACCCGTTTCTCTCCGTGTATGTCTGTATATACGCGTGTACGAAAGGTAAGTGCCTAGTCATACACATATACGCGTATTAGCTAACTGATCATTTTCATATTCGTTTTCGTACGCAATTTAGACTTTGTGTAAACTTTCTTCTCATGGTTTTACATGGCAGCTTTACACAGCGCGCAACTAAGAGTAAAGAGACATTCTCATAAGACGGATAGCCATCGATAAGTAGTATCGAGTGCTACAAATATATATTCTCAAATGGATGTATTCATACGAGATCTCCAGATCCTGAAGTAATTTAACGTGCATTATTTAATTGCGACACATTTGACCATGTCAAGACAAACTCTAATCGAGAGCTTTGATTCGAGAATACCCCAACTCTTCCAATTCGTCTAACGTGTCGAGTCGAGACTTGACATTTTCAGATTATATAATCCTACATAATACTACATAAGTACACACGCATGTACGGTTCGAGATTCAATATATATATTTATAGCTTCAAAGAGTTCCTTTTCAGAACTATGTATTTGAAAGAGAGCAACATTGCTGATACGAATATAAATGCGTCGAGTGTATCGGCCGATTCGTTGAAAGCAAACATCGCTGATGGTGAAGAAAGTAATCACGTGTTTTGGATCTTAATGGATTGCTTCTTGTTCATTGCGATCGTTTTGGGAAATGTTCTAACGATATTGGCTATCGCGTGGGCTCGAAGGCTCCGAAACATCATTTCAAATTATTTTATTTTAAACTTAGCGGTATCGGATCTATTGGTGGGCGTAACGCTACCGTATCATTTGGCATTTTATGTGGATAAAACGTTGCATCACAACAAACCGATATGCATCTCGCGCTTCGTGATGATCAGCTTGGCATGCGGCGGGAGTATATACAATCTCATAGTGATCGCCATAGATCGATACGTCGCTATCGTGCATCCGTTGAGCTATAACAGATACGTGACGAGAAAACGCGTGTTACTGGTCATAGTCGTCGCTTGGATGTGCACCATGGGCGTGTCGTCGATTCCGATATATTGGAATTGCTTCGACACCTCGGATGTGTGCGAATTGGAAACGGTTTTGCCGAGGTACTGCATCTATCACTATCCTACTCGATTACCGAATATCTATTCGTCAATCCCATTCCCGGTTCCCGATAATCAATCTGATGAACAATAATCCATTATACTCCAATATTTCGATATTGAGAAATTAAATTAATAATAAAATAAAATTTTACAATAAAATTTTGCAATATAGTCGCGTAACGATTATTATTATTATTATTATTATTGTTGTTGTTGTTGTTATTGTTGTTGTTGTTGTTGTTGTTAGTTAATTAGTTAATTAGTTAGTTAGTTATTATTTCATATCGATATAATTGCCACATTCGTTAAACGTTCGTTATTCTTCGATCGATGCTTATTATTTCAAAGCAGTTTCAGACACGACTGTAATATTATAAATGATGTTATTTTGTTAGATTCTACATAGTGGCTATACAAATGCCATCGTTTTTTCTCAGTTGGATAACAATGTTTCTCTTGTATTGGAAAATTTGGAAAGAAGCGCATATGCATGCGCGTCGCATGAATCTTAGTGTTGTTCCGAATCTTGTTGAGAAAAACGATCGCAAAAGCGTACAGGTATAACTTTTTTTTTTTAATATTAAATGATATTAAATGATAATGTATGTAGCGGGTTGAAAGCATTACTCGATGAAATTGAAGTAATCATCGAGTAACGAATAATATTGATTTTTGTAGGTGGTGCTGCTGATACTAGGCTGCTTTTCTATTTGCTGGTTCCCCTATTTCGTCATAGCTTGCCTGCGAACTTTTGGTTGGAAAACACATTCAATAATGATATGGTATAAATCTACGTTCGCATTGGCTATCGCCAACAGCGGGATGAATCCTTTCATATACGCATGGAAAAATACCAACTTTCGTAAAGCTTTTCAAAAGATTTTGCACTTTAAATCGCCTAATGACAATTTCAATTCGAGCTTTAAAATATATTTGAAGAAACAACGTGAACTTAAAGATCAGACAGATTCAGAGAATAATCACCACAACAATTTGCACGGATATTCGTCCAATCTCTAACCACGCAATCTAACGCAGAAGAAAATAGAGTAAAACATATAATTTTGTAAATCTATCGTGTTCAGTTAAAAACTATTTACTAGAGAGTAAAATTATAAGATATTTCATTTTTTCCAAATTGTGTACGTGTGCATGTGTATATAAAAAAAACTGGAAACATTTTTTTCTAATTCTAAGAAATAAAAATATTGAAATAAAAAAGTTGCAAGCAAAATGTACACATTATAAAAAATTGCAATCACGAAAAGCATTCATCTGGTAGTCAAAATTAAAAAGTTCTGAGTAAGATGCAAATAAATCTCCGAAGCGATTTTTAAGCAATATTGGGATTTCAATGAAATTTAGAATCAAAAGATACCGTCCAATAATTATAAATCATCCGTTATTCCTTCATCTTATTGAAAAAAATTCTCGTTCCTTTATCAAGAAACTCACCTCGACACCGGTTACACCTAGAGCTGTTTTGATGTTCGGCGTCATCCGAAACGGCACCTTCTCCGGGACTCGCAGAGTTTTTCCTTTTTCGAAACAGACATTGTAATCGATGTGCACAACTTCGCCAGTGTTAAGATCGACGAGAACATTGTCCAAGTGTCTATCGCCTAAACCTATAATGTAGCCAATAATGGACATTACCGCAACGGAATAGGAATAATTTTTTGTAGCTTGCCACCAGCTACCAGCATTGATACTATTGCACCAGATTTCTCTGCAAAAAAGAAAATTAAAAATACTACTATTGAAACTACTATAAAGAAAAACAGAGATATAAAAAAAGAACAAAAAGGAAAGAGAAAGAATTGAAAAAGTGCAGTCTGAGTGAAAAGTGCACCAACGCTTCTAATAGTTGATATTTGCAACTAACTTGGCTAATAGATCCTTCGGAGTTTCCCTCATTAATTCCTCCAATACTTTTTTCAGCACGTGAATAGGCCACTCTTTTCGGTTCTCCAAACCGATCCCACATTCCTTTAGCAACGGCGTCAACTTATTGTAGAACAATTCCGATGGTCGCATAATCGCAGAGTTGCCTCCACCGGTCTTACTGATCACGGCGCATTCACGCTGTTGCCATCGCTTGTAAAGTATAAATAGTGGCGTGACGCCATCGACCCACTGAATGAGACCTGATCTAGGACCCAGCGGAATCACTGAGTAATGTCGCGCCCTATAGAGCTTGGTATCGCTATTCTTCGACATCATAGTGTTACATATGCTCAAGAATTGCATTATCCTTTCATCCAAATGCAAATCCTCGAGCCCCTTAAACAGATACGTATAAACGTGACCATCGGAACCATGGAATATCAACTTTTTGGGCTTTGTTTTCGTCGGTAAAATTTGAACATTATTGTCGACCGACATGATGGTGACGATCTTGTTATCGACGGCCGCAACGCCCGGCATGGCGATACAAGTGTCTCTGAAATTGGCCAAGATAGGACTAATGTCCGTCATTGATAGAGAATAAGCGGCTCGTCGATGCACACGTTGCGCTAACTTGGTCTCCAGGTGCTTCAGCGCTAAATTGGCTATCTGAGGCTTGGCCGGATTCTTGGGATTGTTGAGTCGATTTATCACCTCCTCTATCGAAGCACCAAATTTCTCTTGAAAGTTTTTCTCATGCGGCGTCTCGGCAGGTACGAACGTCATAGATAATAAATTCTCTAGTATAAATATAATCGGCTTCAGAATAATCCTATGTTTTTCCGCGATCAATTTCTCCTTTTCTTCAACTGTAAGCCAGATATTATCCTGCACCCGTTGAATCTCGATTTCTAATTGCTCGAATCGTTTGGTAATCTCCGTGTGATGTTGACACAATGTCGCCAACCACAGTTCGTCCCACAGCAACGTGATTCGCCTGAGTTCCCTTACCAGTACCTTCACTTGAACCACCGAATCCTGGATACGATTCGAGAGACAGTCAACCAACTGTGAAAAATAAGAATCCATGAAACTTTCGTGCTCATCGTTGTACATGGTGACTTCCGCTGTCGTCTCTTCCTCCTCGTCCTCTTCCTCCTCTGCCATCTCCTCCTCGTCATCCTCCTCCTCTTCGTTCTCTTTTCGCTCCTGCTCCTCCATGGCGGCGATGTTCATGTCTACATCGTTCTGCGAGCCGTCTTTGTCATCGGGTTTCTCGTAAACGATCTTATCATAAATCTTTTTCTGACCTGATACCGCGCCCACCACGGCAGGGAACGTAATCAAATGCGGTGAATTCTCCGCCACTCGGCACAGCAGCTCGGATACCTGAGTCCTTACATAGGCCTCGGGATGGCTGAGTCTCGAAAACAATTGCGGTATAATCTCCTTCCACGGCGCGGTCGGTGTCGTCGAGAGACCAGCCTCAAGTACGTTTTGCAATTCCAAAGCGTGCTTCACTACGAGTCGCAACAGTCTCAACGTCGCCGTGATAGTGTCGCATTCGTTGCTGTCATTATTTGCCAATTGCAAAAACTTGAAGTACGCGTTCGCCGAAAGCTCATAATACGAGTAGATTCTCTTCTGGGCCTGTCGCCAGATATCGACCAGCATGCCGAGATGTTCGTTGCTAGCGTGACTTAAGAACGGTACGTTCCTCAACTGATTTTCTATCATGTCTGATGTATTAACATCATTCGTGTCGATGTCGCCCTCGTCCTCGGGTATAGTTTTATTCTGGCTCAATATAGAGAAAATAACGTTGAGATCGGTTTCAGCTATGTCCATTGGCAATAGCGACTGTATATTCATTCGATCTGTGTCTGTCAATTGACCAGAGTTGGAGTTGTCCACGATCTTCCGCCCCCATTTGTAACACCAAGCGGCGAAGCTGGACCAAGCGCGCGACAGGTCCGGACATTGATTCACGCCGAGTTGCATTAATTTGCCTATTATCATGTCGGATGTCGGAATCAGATCGATCGTTTCGCCGAACAACTTATCCATCAAACCGTCGTTATGCATGGCTTCGAATCTGAGCAACTCTTCCAACTGAGGATTTTCATTCACGTTCGAGTCCTGCTGTATCCACTTACCCAGGGTAAGCAAAAGTTTAGTTCCCATCTCCCGTAAATCAGTGGATTGCTCGCCGCTAATGATTGCTTGCGAGATTCCCAGCGCGGTCGCGCAGCACATCTTCAAAGCCTTGTTTGTATCCTCCATGTCGTATAATAGCTTGGATAATTCCTTGAACGCGCGCATACTATTCTTGGTCCATTTTATATGAACAAGCCCGTTTAGCATACTATTTGTGATCTCGGTAAAGGTGCAAACGGTCGGATTCTTTAATTGAATCAAGTCCCGCTCCGATTTCAAGTACTTGACTATCTCTCGTTTCGCCAAATTAAAATTACCTTCCTTCCTGGCTGTTCTGATGATGTGCAATCGTAGGCTGTCCACTTCCGTAGAGGTACTGTTACATGCTTGATCTAGATACTCGGACCACCACAAAACTTGCGTTAAAATGTTCGAGTTGATATTATTAATTTTATCAGTCTTATATAACTCGAAAACGTTCTTGTTCTTCTTGCCGCGTAGCAAATTCTTCAATCCCGTCGCGGAATATTGAAGCAGTATAGCATCGCTGAGATATTCGGATGGCACATTTCGCAAGCCGTCCTGCATTATTTTAGCTGCGACCTTCTGACATCTTTCGATAATGTTATCGAACGAGTCGTTAATCGAATCGTCAAGTTCGTTAATACGAATCCTCAGTGCAACGTTTATCAAACTGTTACTGCACTCGGCCAGCGTCTTCGCGCAACTCCAATTACTTTTGTTTTCTTCGTTTAACAGATTCCAATTCATTAATTCGTCCAAGGAGATCAATTCGCCCTCCTCGAATTTTTTTAGACAATCCGCTTGCTGCGATACGATATTTTCCGTGATTTGTCTTTTCAGGATAGCATAACTGTCTTGTGCCAGCATATCAGTCTCCTGCGACTTCCAATTGACCAAACCGAACCAATCGCTCAAAGCTTTGTAACAGTTGGAAAGTCTTTGTATGCAGAAGCCTAGCACTTGGTTATCGCTTTCAAGTCTCGTGGCTCGGCCGTTTTCATCATCATTTATTTTAGCGTGAACGTGCTCGTCGATGATCTGTTTATAGGCACCCGTTGCTGATTCGTAACGTCCAGCAGCCTCTTCCATTGCAGCTTTCAGCCACGGGAACGATCTCTCTTTGCTCTTGGTGTATACATAGAGCCCCTGCAATGCTTCCGCTTCGCCAAGCGCGACCATCGCCTGTGCTGTCCATAGCGTTGCCCTCTCAAATTCTATGCCTTGCGTGTTATCAGCATTACTCAAGTCCTCCAGCAATCTCTGACCATTTCGTAACGCGCTCGTCGCCAAGCCCGAATGTAACGAAACCACACATAAAGCTAATCGTATGCGATTCAGCCATTCTTTGCAGGTTGATTTGTTTGTATGAAAGAAGGTTCTGACCGGCTTCGATAGTGGTAAAAGCGCCATCGCGCAACCATCAGCCGCATTATGAATTACTCTCTCCAGATGTTCCAAAAATTCGACAAAAAGCCGCACTCGCGTATGCTCGTGCAAAATGCGATCTAATCCCTGCGTTTCTTTCTCCTTTTTCATTATGTCTACGGTATTATGGCTTGATATTTCGCGAGCTAAAATCTTCAGGGCACTCTCGATCGAAGTGAACGTTTCTTGCGGTTTCCCTAAAGAAGTGCGAAGCTTGTTGAGTACGCAGTGTTGTGCTGCCTCGAAACCACTCCAGAAGAACAGAAACGAACAATTTGCTAATGCCAAATCATACATCCTCGCCGTAGTCCCGTTTTCCGGTCTGTGTACAAAAACATGCGTTTCACATAATTGTCACGGTACATTATTTCAAAATAATTTTGAAGAGTGAAAGATACTTACACAGCTGGCCAGCATAATGTAAATATCTCCGACAATCCAGACGCGTCGAGATAATGTTCTTGCAATAGAAATGCCATGTACGTTTTGAAATGTTGTGCTAGCAATTCCCCGTTGTTATTACCTCTCATGTGTAATCTTTGAGCGAGTATCAGCGATTCTGTCGAATAGATCTCGATCTCTCGTATCTTCTGCGACATAATATAATATTCAAGTTTGAAAATGAAACGAAAAAACTCAGTAGTACAGTAATACATTCAGTATACGGTATTACATCTATAAGCTTGCATGCTATTTTATTCATAAAGATAGCACTTACCTTGGTATCTGAGAATAAATATTGCTTGTTCAATTTTGATATAACAATGTCAATGGGCATACACATTAGCAGCGCGCCATACTTTTCGCGAATCGTTTTATTGCACGAGGTCAAATGCAATGTCACTAAATCTACGATACTCGAATAAGTCTCTTGCTTCCATACCACGTTCTTCGCAGTCATTAACGTTTTGAAAAGATTGCATACCGCGCTCGCAATATCATCGTTAGTCGTAGCACCGCAACTGATTAAACTTGCAATGATACTCTGGCACTCCTGAGTTTCGCTCAAAATCCCGATATATTTTTCAGACTGTATGTAAATCTCTTGCAACCAATTGGACAAAAGAAGTACAGTGTATACAGGCGCATTCTTGTTGTATGTTTTGGCTATCAGATTGAGAATTATAGATAAATGACCACTAGCTGGTGATGTAGTTGGTACATCCAAAGTGCCGGGAAACATATCCATCGGACGACAAGCAGTGCTATCTGTTATTAAATTGGAACTTGGAACGAAGTGATTGTACCTATTGTTAACAAATATGCATAAACATATATATGATATATGTTAAATTTATACATATATTGATATATTAAGTTATATACCGTTATACAATTATTGAAAGATTTTATCATACCTAGAGCAATGCGCGTACAACAAATATAGGATATTGTATTGCAAAAATGGACTCGCTGTGGACAGCGTAGTGTCATATGGTTTTAATTTAACAGCGAGAAGTTCTAATATACTGGGCTTCAAAGCCCACATTCCGATAATCGAATTACTTGCGTTTGCTGAAAAAAAAAAAGAAAAAGAAAAGAGGGAAGAAAGAAAAAAAGAGAGAACACATTAATTGCTCGTTTTAAAATACATTGGTAACGTATATTCACTTACCTATATCCGAAAGTGCGCGTAATATGAATGTAACTACAATCTCAACATCGTTTTTCGTGTATGTTAAATCGTTCAATGGATTATCAGTAACCAAGTTATCCATGTCTGGTAGTATGAGTCTATAAGCGATCTCCAAATCCGCCAATATATAGCGGTAAGATTCCTGTAATAACGGAATGTTCTTTAAACTTAGAAGACTATGATATACTCCCAAACTCGCATTTTGAATGAGTACAGAATTTCGGAATCTTAATTTTAGCAGCATCGAACTCTTGCCAAGCAACGTGTGCACCAATTCCAATGGCAAATTCGCAGATACTTCTTTTATTATTTTTGATATAATAGTTAACATTGAAATAATAGTATCGTCCCAAAAAATATTGACTCTCTGTAATTGAAGATTGATGAATTTATAGAGAAGCTCATGATTCTTCGCGACGCGACTTTGAAGATAACCAAGGAGCAGAAAGGCGCATTCATTCGCAATTATAATCAATTCTTCCTTTTCTTCCGACAAATTTTCAATCGATTTAATTTTCGGTTCCATCGATAGCATTGCATTTATTAACAGCTGTCCTTTCTCCTTGGACAGAACATTTCCTTTATCATAAATTATCTTGGAATTTTTCTTATCATTTTTTTTATTTAAGATCAATGACTTCATCATCTTGATGAGATTTTCCTCGGTAATCTCGTCTTTATTGAAATGTTTGGAAAGCATTTCAACATGTTGTTGCGACGAGCTCATGTTTTTCACACATTTAATTAAATTCTCCATGTTGTTAGATATTTTGGGCCAAGTATCATTATCTTCTTCCAATTCGATCGCTTTGACAACGGTCTTGAGCATCTTTGATAGACAATTCATTAGGAAAGACCACTGCACGTTTGGTGTAAGGTTTGGATTTAAGTGCTCGGCTATGCTCTTTGTTACTGTGTTAAAGACGGATATTAATGACGTGATTCGCAGAATACACTCTCTCGGTGTCGGGAATCCGTCATCACCGGGCGAAGTCCGACCAGACTCAGGTGAGTTCAATTCTTCGTCATAACTTTCCATATCCTCCAGAAATTGGCCTAATAATGTCAAAGAAAACTGCAGATCCGCTATCCAAAATGAATGTAATTTTTGTAAACACCGACTCAGCGTAAGCGACAACTGACTTTTGTTGTGTAAAATCGATGTGCCAACCCACAAGTATATCCACAGTATCACGAAAATGATTCGTGAACGTTTCGGGATAGGAATCTATGATGAGTAAAATAGCATCCACAGTAGATACCAATAAGTCTGCTCTATCAACATTTTCTAATATTGATTGTAATTGAGACATCATTGGCTATAATACAAACACATTATGATTAATATTCATCATTATACTAGAAACAAAAGAATCAAGTATTATTTACCACAGAGAATTCCTTCAATTTGAGTAACATGGAATCCATCTTGAGTATCTCGATGAGTGACTTCATTAATAAACATTTCACATCATCTCTATGTTCCAATGAATATTTACTGAAGATCCAGTCCATATATCTAAAAAAAAGTAAACAAATTTTGTAATTTTGAGCACTATTACAAACACTACTACATATTAATTACAAAAACATGTAAAGATCAAAACATAACCTTCATAATATTTGCGCGTTGCTCGATTACATATACCTTTTAAAATCTTGTTCTATTACATATCCGATTTGACTCAAACATTTTGCAGCCTGTTGCTTTGCCTCTTGACTGGGACCAGAACGCAAAAGATCTAAGAGACTCTCACAGGTAGTTTCCAAGTTTCGTCGTAAATATCGTTGATTCTCAGGTGCAATGATACCTTCCTGTACTTGTCTACAAAGCACCATGAAATGATCACAGTCATCCTCGCGATACAGTCGCCGCAACAGCTTGGAAATTCTTGAGTCCTCTGAAACAAGTGAGTTTCTTTAAAAAGTAAAATTCATGCACAACAAATATTTTCCTACGAGTAAGCACATCCAGAAAAACGCATATAATAAATTACCATTTACTCTTTTATCATCATAGTATTTGCCTTGCGCATTCTCATAATTTTTCAACGATTCTTGAAACTTGGGTCTAGATGTGGAGTGATAGTTGGACTCTGAATTTGATTCACTGAGTGTCTTTTTAAAAGCTCTCCCACCACGTGCTCCACCTCTTGCGTGGTCTGCAGAACTGCCACCACGCGCCATTCGAAATTCATTTCTTGGACCAGCACTATCACATATGTATTTTATGACAAATTAATTTTTTTAATCTATAAAATATAATCATAATAAAATTGGGAGACAAAAGAAAAGAGAAAAAACCTTGGCTTAAATCTAGCAAAACTGTGATCTGAAGAATAGTTGGAGTTTCGTTGACAAATGACCAAAGTGTTTTGTGGTACTTTAAAGTCATTTATACTGTAACAACTTATCACGCTACTGTCTTCTTTTTCTATTTCTCCTCCTTGAGTCTCCTTTGTAGACTCGTCTTGAGTCTCAGTGCGTGAACCACGTAGCCTCGTGCTAGTATTAGAGTTCCCACAGCTATTCATTACATTACTCTGCAAGTGGTCTGCATGACCTACACTTTATAGATGTAACTTGTGATTATCTGAAAAAGATTCTCAATTATACAACTGTCAAAGATATATGATTGAACCATTGAACAAAAATTTTGAAATTCAATGATCAGTACAGAAAC